ACCAACAAAGCAAGTTCCCCTCCTTATATAAACCTTTCCTTGACCCTTCACAACAACAAACTAATACTATATTTGTCTTTCTATGATTGACTTATTTCACTCAGCATAATGTCCTGTAAGTTCATCCAAATTATGTGGTGTTTTGCAGACTCTACATTATTCTTTAGTGCTGCATAGCATTCCATTTTGTGTATGTACCATAGTTTGGTCATCTACTCTTCTGCTACAAATCTTAGAGATAAGTCCCTTGCCAGATATGTAATTATCAGCAAATATCAATTTGTTGCTGTCATTTTTGTTATGTGCTTTTTGGTGGTATCGATTTCTTTGTTCCATACAATTTTCTATGCTGAGTATGTTTTGTTTATGAATCGTGTTATCACTTCCTTCATTGCTATTGTTTTGGTATTTGCTGAATATTTATGCTGGTCCTCTTTTTTATTTTGATGTGAAGGTTTATCATTTTTCTCTGAGGTTACTCTGTGATTTATAGTTTTCTTCCCAAGTTTAGAATAGTCTGTTCTGTCTTGTAGTTGTCTTGACTTCCTTACCATCTAGAAGTTCTGCAACAACACAGTTTTTTCCCTCTTTTTGGTTTGTAGTTGTCCTCATTTGTCAATTGAGGTCTCTGGTTCCCTGTTTACAATCTTTTAGGCTTATTTACTTTGGCTACTTGCATAGCTGGGTTGGTTTCTGGGTTATATCATCATGTGTGTTAATGGTCAGTTCTTGTTGGCTGTTGTTGCTTCTCTGTCCAAAGGGCTCTCTTTAGCATCTCTTGTAAGGCTGGTCTGGTTTTAACAAATTCCCTTCATTTCTGCTTATCTGGAAATGTCCTAATTTCACTATCATATTTCAGGGACAATTTTGCTGGGTACGTAATTCTTGGTTGGAAATTTTTCTCTTTTAGGGTTTTATATATACCATCCCACTGTCTTCTCGCCTGCTTGGTTTCTGCTGAGAAAGCAAAGCTTAGTCTTATTGGTTGTCCCTTGTAGGTAACTTTTTATTTTTCCCATGCTGCTCTCATGATTCTTTCTTTGTCTTTGGTTTTAATGAGTTTGATGATGATATGTCTGGGTGATTTTCTGTTGGGGTCTATCCTGTTTGGGGTAGGTTGGGACTTCCTGAATGGATATATGCTCATCTTTCATCATCCCAGGAAAATTCTCTTCCAACAAATCTTCGACAATTTTCTCTGTGGTTTTATTTGTCTCTTCCTGTTCTGGAATTCTGATGACACATAGGTTATTCCTTCTGATAGTATCCTACATGAACCTTAGGCTTTCTTCATTTTGTTTTGATCTTTTTTCTGATTTATCTTTTTCCAAAGAAGTGTTCAGGTAATTGCCTTCAATCTCCCTCATACTGTCTTCCATTGATTCAATTCTACTCCTTTGCCCATTCAATGTCTTATCTGTTTCTGAAAATTTAGTATTAATCTTCTGGATTTCTATTTGTAGATTTTGTATCATTTCTAATTTCTCATTTATTTTGTCATTTTGTTCTTGTATAGTCTTTTGAAACTGTTGTAAGGTTTTCTCTGTGTTGTCCTTGATCTGTCTCTCAGTTTGTTGAAGATACCTAAATATAATTCTTTTGAATTCCTTATCAGGGAGTTCCAATGCTGTGTCTTCCTCAGGGATGTGTTTTGGGTCTGTATCCTGGTCCCTTGTTTCTTCTGCTTTATCTTGCTTCTTTGTGTAGACTGTGATGATCTTTTGTCTCTGAAGCATTGTGATGTTTTGTGTTTATATTTAATCCGTGATTGTACGTTATAGTGACTTGTCCACGATTTTTGTTTTCTTTGTATGTTATCTATGTAAGCAGTATACTGTGCTCCTCTATTCACTAGTTGACAGCACTTATACACTCACCACCTGCCTCCTTTCCTGTTGTCAGCCTCTGGTATGTCCCTGCTGACCTTGGCAAACAGAGCCTATTCTTAGGTCCCTGGAATCTGAATGAGAATGCTATCACTAAAATCCAAAATGTTTGCCACTTGTAAAGATTCAAAATGGCTGCACCCTCGGTCACTTTAAATATCCAAAATAGCTGCCACGTGTAAACAATCAAAATGGCTGCACCTTACGGATAGCAGAAAGTCAACAGCTCAGGTTGTCTCCCTCCTTGCTGCTTCCCTTCCTAGTCATAGGCCACCAGTGCAGTTATCCCTGCAGCCCTTGGTGACCAGGGCTGATCTTTAGGTCAATTCTCAGGTCCCAATACCACTTGGAACTATTCGGGCCGCTGGTGCCGTCAGAGTAGCTGACAGTCTGCAGCTCCGTCTGTCTCCATACTCACTGTTTTCATTCAGTGCCTAATCCACTTCAGTATAGTTTTCAAAGCTCAAGGCTCTAGGATTATCTTCTATATCTCTGTCAATTGGTTCTTTTTTCTTTTCTTTGTTGAAGAGGGTCTGTGTCACTTGTCTGCCTATTCCTCCATCTTACCGAAGTCTGAGGCATAAGTTTTTGTCAATTATTTTTGTTATTGCTATTTGTTTTTTTACATAGGTCTAGAAACTAATTTAATTCTGTTTTGAACTTTACTAGTTTAGGCGAAGTCAGACATGTTTCCTAAAAGTAATCAATCCTCCATTTTAAAACACTAAAAATAGTGTTATGTAACATTAATAGAATATATTTTTATAATAATTTTATAACTAGGCAAATACTAGCCAAAAAGAACCCTCACTGCCATCAAGTCAATTTGACTCATAGCGACTCCTCCTTGGGTTTCAGAGGTGGTATCTCTGTGGAAGTGGACTGCCCAGTCTTCCTTCCATGGAGTGGCTGGTGGCTTTGAACCACCAGCCTTCTGGTTAGCAGTGAAGTGCATTAGGCACTTATGCCACCAGAGCGCCCCATGATAAACCAAACCATTAATCTTAAAGCTAAAATCACAATAGAAAAAATTCTAAAAACTGACATTTAATGAAGCTATGTCACAATATACTTCAAAATTAATTTTCAAATTTTGTTCACTCCCATCCTATGTTGTAGCTGTTTTGTCACTTGTTGCCAAGTCAGCCCTGACTCATGACCACCCTATGAACAACATAATGAAACACTGCCCAATCCCGCACCATCTTCCAGACTGCTGGTATGTTCAGGTCCACTGTTGTAGCTACTGTGTATTTTAACTGCTTTCCAACCTGGGAGGTTCATCTTGTAGCACTAAATCAGATAATGTTCTGTTGTGATCCACAGAGTTTTTATTGGCTACTTTTCAACAGTAGATCACCAGGGCTTTCTTCCTCGTCTGTCTCAATCTGAAAGCTCCACTGAAACCTGCTCTCCATGGATGATCCTGACTGTACTGGAAATTCCAGTGACATAGCTTCTAATATCACAGCAACATGCAGCAACTGAAGCACGGCAAACTGACGGATTTGAGAGATGAAGACTAAGATATAACACAGATGATAAATTGCAAATATTGCTGTATACATAAATGTATATCAGTGTACTTACTTATATGTTAAAATGAAAAATATGGGTAAAACTAATTTTATGAGACAGAGTAAAAACCAAAACATGTTTTTCTATTAATTTAGAATTTACTACTCCAAATTATTTTAAGAAAGTACCTATATTCTATCTAAATATTGTATTTTCTTAAGAATTTAGACAAGTCTAAAGAGTCTGAAAATAATTTATAAAATAATTTATTTATAAAAATAAAAGGACATGGAAAATGTAGACATAAATCATTTAAAATTAGAAATCCCATTAGATATTTAGCAAAAGAAAGCAAATCAAAACATTCATTAGGAAATAGAAGTTAGAAGAGTCCAAATAAGTGAAATAATAAAATTATATATATGGTAAAATGGTAGAAAAGATAACGTAAGAAAAACCTTCTTAGTTGATTCTTTTTTCTAGAAGTACAAGAAGAATCAGCATTTCCTCACATCATGTTATTAAATAAAAAATTCAGAAATAATTTGAATATTGCTTATGGGAAAATTGGTCTTCAACATCTCCCAAGTAGGAGACATTAGAAATACATTTGTTTACCATCATTTCACATTAAGGAATTGCTGATCTGGTTAGTAAGCTTAAGAGAAGCAGAACCATAACTCTCAAAACAAGTCTCTAAACATGAACATTAAACTATAATGTCTCACGATACATTATTCCATTCATCACCAGCAGTCAAAAATTATTTCTAAATTACATCAACTGGAGTTTTGTGTGTTGCTAACAACAAAAAAACAGATATTTTTCCTTACCAATTCATATTCATCAAAAAGTTGTATGAGGGAAGGTGGAATAAACATATGAAAGCCTTGTAAAAAAGCATTGATCTGAGGCTGAATGGCTCTTGTCATTCGAAGTTCAGTAACAAGCTGGACATACTCTGCCTGTAAAGAAAAAAAAGCTGAAGGCAACAGCTTTATCTTGTTTATCAGCATGTAACCCAATCCCCCAAAAGTGGTTGTCACCTTGTAATTACTTAACAAAGAAGAGTGAATCCATACGTTCATCAAACTCATCTAATACATACTTAGAACTTGATGAAATGGCTCATTTTAACAAAGTCAATTTGATTCTAAGTAAGGTAAGCTATTTGCAGAATTTTAATTCTTATGTTTTGTAAAAATTATTTTATTCTTAAGTTTTGTGAAAATTTCACATAATTACAATTATGTTGAGATAATTTCATTCTCAGTTAAGAGGTAAATATTTATAATCATTTGTCATCAATATTCATACATCTCAGAAAACAGGAAAACACTATTCACTAAACTGGTTAACCCAAAGTTCTAGTAATTACTAATTAATTATCCATGACTTCCCTCACACTCTATCTAAGTGACTGATATCACATCTACCTTTGATATAATTTTTAATCTGACCTTGTCCCTAGACCTCTATTTCTAGCACTCTGGCTTAAGCCATCATCTCTTACCTGGATTAATGCATTATCTATGTGGTATCTTTGTTTCCACTTCTGCCTCTGTACTGCTTCTTCTCCATCATAGCCAAAGTGATTTTAAAAAATACATATAATGCAGATCACATAAAGCTCCTGCTCAAGTACCTATAATGGCTCATGACACCTAGACTAAAATCCAAAGTCCTCACTAAGTCTATAAAACTCTAAATGACCCAGCCTTTTTCTCTGACCTCATTTTCTTCCACTCACTGCCCCTTGCCCACTCATTCAACTCTACCTTTATTGGCCTCCTTGTAATTCCTCAAACACAAACTTGTCTAGGCTCAGGATCTTTATTCTTCCTGGTCTCTCTTCTGAAATGTCTCATTAGAATGTAATCTCCCTGAAGGCAGCAGCTTTATCTTGTTTATCAGCATATAACCCAATCCCCAAAAAGTGGTTGTCACCTTGTAATTACTTAACAAATAAGTAAAGAGTGAATGCATACATTCATTAAACTCATCTAATACATACTTAGAACATGATGAAATGGCTCATTTAAACAAAGTCAATTTGATTCTAAGTAAGGCAAGGTAGTTGCACATATTTTATTTTAAAATAAAAGTATTGCCTATTAAAATTCAACTGGTGACAAAAAATATACTTTCGCTCAGACTAGAATGAACTATAATATCTATATCAGCTGTTATTTATGTTTTTAAATTACTTCTAAGTAAAACTTTGTGAGTTAAAAGTACTATGTGGTATATAGTTCTCATTTCCCAGGAATGAATACTCTTAACACTGAGGAGAGAAAGCCTGTTTAGCCCCTTTCTTTTATTCTTTCTTGGCACTAATCTGATACAGTGTTCAAAAAAAACAAGAAAAGAGGCGCTGAGCCAGCAAGTTATATATGACTGGTGGCTATGAATTCTCTGTACCTTACAGCTACACAAGGGTCAGAGTGGATTCCTCATCATCCTCCCCGAACATCATGTGGGTGACTGTGCAAACTGGCACAAAAAAGCTATGTCTGCTACTCTATCTACCCATACCCCTAAATCCTACTTCCCACCATCTAAAGGTTTTTCTCCAGTATATAGAAATTAATCAGTTAATACATATTACATACAGGTAATTACTACAGAGATGACAGACACATATGTCAAACTCAAGAAATAATATATATAACACACTTCCAAGCATGACCAGCACAGATTTCAGTATTAGCACATGACTACCTTTTAGTTTATGTCTGCTCTAAATGAAACTGTGTAACGAATGTACACATCTGTTCTGCCTTTTCCTTCATTCATTACGCATCTGTATGCTTAAGGCTAGACCTGGTTGTTGCTGGGTGCCATCAAGTTGATTCTGAATCATGGTGACCCCAAAGCAGAATTTCGCTGTAGCATTTCCTAGGCTGTAATCGTTTACAGAAGTAGATTGCCAGGTCTTTCTCCTACCAAGCCACTGGATGGATTCAAACCACCAACCTTACAGTTAGCAGCCAAGAGCTTAACCATTATGCCACGAGGGCTATATGAGATCCCATTTTCCCTAAACAAGAGTAGCATTTTCCCAAAAGGTTTTAGTTTTATAATCTCAGTGTTCAAGACCTTCACAAATTAAGAAGCATGAAAATAAAGGATCGGTGAATTGCTCAAACACTCTTCGCCTATTTATCACTGCATTCCACCACATCTATCAGAATAATACATATTCTATTTTTAACAACTGCTGTTAGGTGATACCACAGCGACCCCATAGCAAAACAGAAGAAAAAAAAAACCTACCCACCCCTGCACCACTGCCACCATGATCAGCTGCAGACTGAGTCACTGTGATCCATAAGGTTTTTCGTAGCTGATTTTCAGAAGTAGGCCACCAGGTTTTTCTTCCTAGTCTATCTCAGTTTGAGAGCTCTGCTGAAACCTGTTCAGCCAAACAGCAACATGCAGCCCTCCACTGACAGGTAGTGACTGTGCATGAAGGACACTGACCAGGAATCAACCTCAGTTCACCTGCATGGAAGGTGAAAATTCTACCACTGAGCCACCACTGCTTTTATCAATGAATTCCTGTGATTCTGTGATACATTCTATTTTTGAAAATTAATTTTTATAAGTACACTAATCTTTCTTCACACTTCCCCTTCTGTTTCCTCTAATATTAATTATTTTCCATATTTATCTTAGTAAGTCTGTCCATAGTTACTGAATACCAATTTGTGAAAATCAGCTCCTTCAGATCCCAGTCTCCATACTAATTAAGTAATTTAAATGGGGAAGGCACTTGGTTTAAGTTATTTTTCAATATAAAAAAAATAAAATCCAAGTTATCACAAACTCCTCAGAGTTGTTTAGTAAATAAAAGTTTCTAGATAGCTGAAAGACCAACTATGTTTAAATAATAAGAAAACTTGAGACAAAATGTTTCTAAAATATTACATATTTTAATATATACGATTAACATTTTAGAAACAGTATGATATGTATTTTTCTGACTTCTTAAACAGCGTATATTTAAACAATAACACAAAATATTTTCTCAACAATATGATACTGTGAATATTCACTATTATTACAGGCTATGAATATCCATATTACTATGGGTTAACATTCCAATTGTTCCCACTACGCAGAAATACACTAGCTTCATTTCTCTTGTCTATGAAGGTGCCCAAGTGACTCACCTCTGCCCTTTTTCCCCTATATAACTCCACTAAATATCTTATATGCTTTAATGAAATAATGTGGACATGTAGATGACAATGAGTCCAGAAAACACTCGCATTAACAGTCCCATAATTAAACATTAAAATTTACCTACCCTAGCAGTAACAGCAAAGTTCAACAAGACCAAAAATGACAAATGCTATCAAGGGTATTGAGAGACTGGCACACTCATACACTGCTGCTAGGACTATAAAATGGTATAACCATTGTGGAAAACAGTATGTCACTTCCTCAAAAAGTTAGAAACAGAAATACCATTTGATCTGGCAATCCCACTACTAGGAATACATCCTAAAGAGGTGAGATCCAGGACACGAATTGATATACACACCCATGTTCATCACAGCACTATTTACAATAGCAAAGAGAAGGAAACAAACTAAATGCCCCTCAACAGGTGAATGGAAAACCAAGCTATGATACATACACACAATGGAATACTATGCAACATTAAAGAACAATGAAGAATCTGAGCATCATCTCATAACATGGATGAACTAGAGGACATTATGCTGAGTGAGATAAGTCAATCACACAAGGACAAACAATGTATTACTCTGTTATTATAAAACACCAAGGAATGAATTACACAGGGAAGGAATTATAAAACACCAAGGAATGATTTACATAGGGAAGGAAAAGTAATTTTGTGTTAGCAAGGGTCAGAGGGGATATGAGGGAAAACTGCTTGCTAGTTAAGAGACAGGTGTTGATTTGGGAGAAGAGAAAGACAATATAATAGAAGCGTATGACCAGCACAATACCATTAAGGAAAAGGAAGATATAGAGAGATGCATAAGAGGTGCAGACAATAAAGGTAAATACTATTACATACAGAATATTACATTATCAGTAACAGCAAACACTAATCTATGGATTACTGCATGGTTTAAAATTAGAAAGGAAATGTGTCACAGTTGTATCCTTTCACCGTACTTATTCAGTCTGTATGCTGAGCAAATAATTGGAGAAGTTGGACTGTATGAAGAAGACCATGGCATCAGGATTGGAGGAAGACTCATTAACAACCTGTGATATGCAGATATGAGACACAACCTTGCTCCCTGAAAGTGAAGATGATTTGAAGCATTTACTGATGAAGATTAAAGACTCCAGGCTGCAGTAGGGATTACACTTCAACATAAAGAAAACAAAAATCCTTACAATCGGACCAATAAGCAGCATCACGACAAATGTAGAAAAGATTGAAGTTGTCAAAGGTTTCATATTGCTTGAATCCACAATCAATACCAGTGGAAGCAGAAGTCAATAAATCAGAAAACATATTGCACTGGGCAAATCTGCTGCAAAAGACCTCTTTGGAGTGCTCAAGAGCAAAGATGTCTCCTGTTGAAGACTAAGGTGTGCCTAACCCAAGCCATGGTATTTTCAATCACTTCATATGCATGTGAAAGGTAGACAGTGAATAAGGAAGACCAAAGAAGAGTTGATGCGTTTGAGTTGTGGTGCTGGTGAAGAATACTGAAAGTACCATGGACTGCCAGAAGAACTAACAAATCTGTCCTAGAAGTTCTAAGTGCAGCCAGGATGCTCCTTGGAAGTGAGAATGGCCAGACTTTGTCTCATCAACTTTGGTCATGTTGTCAAAAGGGACCATTTCCTGGAGAAGGGTATCATGCTTGGTAAAGTGGAGGGTCAGCAAAATAGGGGAAGGCCCTAAAAAACATGGATTGACACAGTGGCTGCAACAATGGGCTCATAATAGCAAGCATTGTGAGGCTGACGC